CCTCCTCCTCCTCCTCCTCCTCCTCCTCCCCGGAACACGATCCACCGACGCCTATCTCAGTGGACGTGGCCTGGGCCCCACTGGCCGATTCACCCCAATGGGTGCCCTGACCTCCCCGCGTCGTGAAAAAAATCACGACGGGAGGTTCGTTGCTAATTTCGGCCTCCGGGGGCCTTTTATTTACCCTCGGGACCGTCAAAAATGAGGAAGAACCGGTCCTGGGGAAGGGGTCCAGACCTCTAGGGGTCGACGTTGCGAAAAAATTACGACGTCGAGGGTCGGGGTCGGGAGATGGGTCCTTTCCTTCGGGTCTCAAGTATAACTCCAACTGGGGTGCCGAGATGATGGGGGTCTGGACAAGGGTTGGCGTGGACGCCACCCTCGCCTTTCAAGCTCCCCCCTGGCCACGCACATGCGCCGTGGGGCGAGGCGACGGGGACGTCACGGAAGGGGATGGTTTGAAAAGGGGCCAATTAGACCGCCCTTGACCGGCTTTCCCGTCCTCGCAGTCGCGGCGGGACACCGTCGCGGACGCGGGGTCTCCAGCGACGCAAGCGGCGGCCACCGCGGCCCTGTCCTCGCACGGCCTAAGGCACCCGCCTTCGCTGGCGCTGCTGGCGGCCACAGGAGCAGAAGCGGCAGGCTCTCCGCTGCTGCAGCGGGGCACCTTTGCAGGGGCGGGTCCTCCGGCGGGGCTTTCAGCGTCGCCAGCGCCGCCAGCGGATGCCACTGCGGCAGCTTTCCCGTCCTCAGCTGCACGCAAGAATGGCCCTAGGCGCGCGGGGGCATGGGAGGGCCAAACTCGAGCGCGCAAGCCGCTGCCATCGCATCATCTTCAGCCGGTCAGGGACCCCGTGCGCCCGCACCAAGGGTCACTCTGGCGGAGGGCCACTCTTCCCTGAGATCCGACGCGGCGAAAATAGCTCGGCGAAGGACCCAACCGCACGCAGCTGCGAGCACCGCTGAATATCGTCTTCGGCGGAGTTCCTTGCGGGCGCACGAACCGCGGGAAGGGCGTGCAAGAGTGGAATAGCGGCGGCACGCGGGCGCTACCACTGGCGCCTTCGGCGGAGCTCCGCATAAGGCCTTCGGCGTGGTTCCCTCGGCCCGCGATCTGTTTGACGCAGGGTAGCGAGAAAAGCTAGACCGCCCAAGATCGCCCTTCCCTTCTCAACAAAGCCCAAGGCCGCGGGCGCAACTCACCGCGGAGCCCCCGCGAGGCGCGCCGGTCGCCGCGAAGGGGCCCCAGCGACGCGCGCGGGTCGCCCGCTGCGCGGAGCAAAAAAAACAAACTTGCTGGCCGACTGCGGGCGAGCCCCTGGCTGCTGCGCAGAGCGACGACAAGCAAGCGAGGCACCAGGCAGCAGGCAGAGAGCAGCGCGAAGTCCCCGCGACGCGCGCTGGTCGCTCCGAGAGGGCCCCCGCGACGCGCGCGGGTCGTCCGCCGAGCGGGGCCGAACAAGCAGACCGTCGAGAGAAGGTGAGGCTCGGGCGGGCCGCTCCCCTGGTCAGGCCTCGCGGATGAACACGGTGAAGCCCAGCTCCCTGGCGAGGGCCGTCGCCTCCCTCCCTCCGGCGCCGCTTCGCGCGCGCCGCAAGCTGCCCCAGCTGCTTACGAAGCCCGCCGACGGCCCTGCCACGAAAAACTCGATCCGCGGCGCCCGCATGAGTCCTCGTGGCGCGTGGCGCGCGAGAGCAGCACGTAGAGCTCCAGCCACCAGTCGTCGTCCTCCTTGCCGTTCCCGACCTCGTGGCGCCGCAGTCCAGGATCACGCCTAGGCGACGTCGGCCAAAAAAAGGCGCGCCCGACAGCCGACGGCCTAGGGCAAGGATCTCCAGGACCGAGAGAAGGCCTGGCTGCGGGCCGCTTGCGCCCAGGCTATAGGGCCACGAAGCGCGTGAAAGGTGCGCTCCCTACGGAGCCACGAAACACCGCAACGCGGAGCAGAAACCGCATGCGAGTTCCGCCACTGAGACCTTCGGTGGAGCGCACTATGGGGCCACGAAACGCTTCACTGGGCGCCAGACGCGCATGCGAGTTCCGCCACTGGGGCCGTCGGTAGAGCTCCCTATGAGGCAACGAAACACCGCACTGGGCGAAGGAACCGCGCGCGAGTTCCGCCAGTGGGACAGTCGGTGGAGCTCCTTATGGGCCAACTAAACGCTGCACTGGGCGCAGGAACCGCATGCGAGTTCCGCCGCCACTGAGACAGTAGGTTGAGCTCCCTACGGAGCCACGAAACGCTGTCAGTATACTGGGCGCAGGAACCGCATGCGAGTTCCGCCACTGGGACCTTCTGTGGAGCTCCCTTTGAGGCCACGAAACGTTGCACTGGGCGCAGGAACCGCATGCGAGTTCCGCCACTGGACCTTCGGTGGAGCTCCATATGGGGCCACGAAACGCTGTACTGGGCGCAAGAGCCGCATGCGAGTTCCGCCACTGGGACATTCGGTGGAGCCCCCTACGGAGCCACGAAACGCTGTTAATATACTGGGCGCAAAAACCGCATGCGAGTTCCGCCACTGAGACCTTCGGTGGAGCGCACTATGGGGCCACGAAACACCGCACTGGGCGCAAGAACCGCATGCGAGTTCCGCCACTGGGACCTTCAGTGGAGTTCCTTATGGGGCCACGAAGCGCTTTACTGGGCGCAGGAACCGCATGCGAGTTCCGCGATTGGGACCTTCGGTAGAGCTCCCTATGAGGCAACGAAACGCTGCAGTTTGCACAGGAACCGCATGCAAGTTCCGCCATTGGAACCTTCGGTCGAGCTCCCCATGGGGCCACGAAGCGCTTTACTGGGCGCAGGAACCGCATGCGAGTTCCGCCACTGGGACCCATTCCTCAAGCCGGATCGATCTGTGAGGGCCCCTGGGCCCGGAGCTGCGCGAAAATTGCAGCGCCAGGATCTCAGGGTTCCCAGACCCCCGACGTCGTGATTTTTTCACAACGTCGACCCCCAGAGGTCTGGACCCCTTCCCCAGGACCAGTTATTCGTCCTGAGTCTTGTTGACGGTCCCGAGGCCTGGCGAAACCCTCAGAGGCCGAAATTAGCAACAAACCTCCCGACGTGATTTTTTTCACGACGCGAGGAGGTCTGGGCATCCAGTGGGGTAACTCGGCCAGTGGGGCCCAGGCCACGCCCACAGGGATAGGAGTCGATTAAACGTGCTCCGAGGAGGAGGAGGAGGAGGAGGAGGAGGAGGACGACGACGACGACGACGACGACGACGACAACGACGCGAGGAGGTCTGGGTGACGCGTAGGTCGACATCCTCGCACGCCCTCGAGCGCACGCCCTCGCCGGTGCTGCCGGCGGCCGCGGCAGCAGCGGCGGCGGCCTCGCCGCCGTCGCAGCGCTGCACCTTCGCGGGGGGGCCCGCGGCCTCCAGCGGCGCAGGGGGGCGCGCCGCGCCGGCCGCTGCCGGGCCCGCCCGCGGGGGCAGCCGGATGGCGCGCCTGCACGCAGGAGGCATCCAGACACCACCGCCGTGGCTGGCCAGGGCCATGCAAAGAGAGGCCCAACGCAGCGGGAAAATCGCGGCGGGAGGTTTTGCACCCTCTTCGGCCTCCCGGGGGCCCTCGCCAGGCCCTGGGGCCGTCAGGAAACGGCGCAGGACGAAGAGCCGGTCCCAGGGCAGGGGACCAGACCTCTGGGGGTCGACGTTGTGAGAAAATCACGGCGTCGGGGTCAGGGTCTATACACCACCACCGTGGCTGGCCAGGGCCACCCTGGGCATGGTGTGTCAGCCTCCTGGCCGCTGGCAGGAGGGCGTATGCACTAGGCAGTGGGGCCCAGGAAGGCCCAGGCCAGGCACTGTGGTGGCGCGTGGAGGCCACGTGCGGAGCCTGTTCCACGTCCACTCGCGCTTCGTGCCCCGCGCGTCCGAGGAGCTGCTACCCGCGCCGCCCGCCTCGGGGCGCCGCCCGTCGCAGCGCGCGCAGAGGAAGGAGGAGGCCGCCGCCGAGCCGTTCGTGGCCTCTCGGCGCCGTCCGCTGGACACCCAGGCCTGGCACTGGTCGCACTGCTTCGAGAACCTGCGGAGGCAAAACTCCTGGGAGGTCTCCGTCGGAGCGGCTCAGGGCGAGCCCGAGGAGAAGGCCACTTCACCGGACGAGGTCAAATGAAGTCCGGGACCAAGCCGGATTTCACAGGATCAAGCCGGATTCAGCCAGGAAACCCAGATTAAGCTGGCGATCGACCGCGAAAATACCAGCGTCGATACAGAATTTACTCTCCCAGGAGTTGCATCCCAGAGAACCTGTGCCACTTCCCCCAGCAAGCGCTGCAGTACCAGTTCTTGTCCACTTTCGGATTGACGTGGCCATCCCTTCTGAAGATCGTCTTCCTGCACCACATGCACTCGCGTGTCAGCCCCAGGCGGCCCGCACCCCATGCCCTGGCCTTTCTGCAAGCGGACGCACCGCTCGCGAGCCTGTCCTTTACGCACTTGGGCGCGCCCGCCTTCCTCCAGCCCGTCAAGGCAAAGTGCCTCCCAAGTGCGAACCAGCTCTGCCCCTTCCACCAGTAGCCGTAATCGCGCACCCAGCAGGGGAAACCGACAGCGCTCACCAGCGGCCAGGACAGCAGGCGGCCTCGGCGTGCCGCCAGCGCCATGCCCGGCGCTGCCAGCACGATGCCCCACGTCGGGGTCGGCACGACGGTGGAGGCCAGGATGGCCACGCCGTGCACCCCGAGCGGGAAGTCTCTGAGGGCCTCTGTCAAGCCGTCCAGGTACCACGACGGCAACAGTCCGCCACCGCGCTGCGCCACGGACGGTGCGTCTCAGGCTCCCTTGCACGATGCCTGGCGCTGCTCATCGCGCACTGAAAGCCTGGGCCCAAAACAGATCAAAACATGGCACGCGTCCATTTTCTGCGAGGGGGGGGGATTACCCATATCCACCGCCTGGGAACCGGCGTCCTGGTGCCCCAGCGAGCAGTGGATATGGCTCTACGTTAACCACTCAGAACGTCTCCACCGCATGGAAAATACGACACAGGACCCCGGACCTCCACCTGCACGGGCGCTCTCGAGCGCTTCTGGGCGCTCTCGTCGCTCGGCGCGTGGCCTTCCTTCCGCGGCCCTGGACGCGATGCAGGGCCTCCTCCTTCTGCTCCTCCTCCTCCTCCTCCTCCTCCTCCTCCTCCTCCTCCTCCTCCTCCTCCTCCTTCCTCCTCCTCTCCTCCCTCCCCAATTATTCAATATGAGTACTACTCTCCCCTTCCCCTGATGACGGGTTGGGAGTGTTCGCCCCCCCCCGCGTATTGTTTTTTAACACACAGGATTCCCCGAGTTGGTTTTCGCCTGCATTTGTTTCCAAAATGCTGCTCTCGCTGAGGCGCCGGCCTCATTTTCGGGCCCCGCTGCGTTCCGCTCTCGCTGAGGCGCCGGCCTCATTTTCGGGCCCCGCTCGTTCCGAATCGTGCTCCCGCTGCAGCGCTGGCCTCATTTCCGTGCTTCCGCTCGTTCCGAATCGTGCTCCCGCTGCAGCGCTGGCCTCATTTCCGCGCTTCCGCTCGTTCCGAATCGTGCTCCCGCTGCAGCGCTGGCGTCATTTCCCGTGCCATGCCACGGCATGCACTTCAATGCTAGGTTGCGTTCCGCTGCGCGATGCCATGCCTTCAGCTGAAGCTGTGATATGCAGTGCTTAAGTGCCACGTCGTGCTATGCCATGCTATACTTTGATCTGCAACGCCATGCTATGCAATGTTATGTTCGGGGCCGCTGTGCGATGCCATGCTTTGCGTTGCAAAGCTTTGTGATGCAATTCTTCACAACGCCACGCCACTCCATGCTGTGACATACTACACTTTGCGGTGCTCTTCTACGCCACGCCATGCCGTGCTCTACAATACATCGCGTACCCTTTCGGGATCATTGCCCTGCTCGACATCCGACTGTGCGAGTAGAGAGGGGATCTACGCCATGGCAAGGGATGGGAGGGAGGGGTAGGATGTTGATATGACGCGAGCGCACCTAGCTTGTCCTCCTCCCCCTCCCCCTCCTCCCCCTCCTCCTGCTCCTGGACGAAGATGCTCCACGATGGCCCCACGGGCTCGTCGTGAGGCGCTCCCGATGGCCTCCTCGAGGCACGGCGGGCCAGGCCAGCCCAAGAGGCCAAGATATCCACCGGCACCACGCGAGCCTGTTCGTACGCTCCGCCGCGGCAGCCTCCAAGGACGGCCAACATAGAGAAACAACAAACCACGTAGACTATTTTGCGTCGGCGGCTAGGCAGAGTGACGGCGCTGGCGAAGAGCTACCTGAAACGGGGGGGTCGTTGTGGCGAGTTGTGTCACCATGGAGGAGGGGGGGACAGGGCCGAGGAAGCGGCCGAAAGAGGGGGCGGGAGGGGAACGAGGCCGCTCAGGGGACGGGTCAAAAGCCACATAAACACAAACTTTTGGAGGTCTGCGCGGATCCAAGAAACCCGTACGGAGCGCCAAAAGTTTATGTTCATGCCGGTTTTTCTTCTTCGACCAGCAGCTCCCGAGGTCGGGCCATGCCAGCCTCCGAGTCCCCCCAAAAGGGAGGCCCAAGAGACCCGCAAAAGAGGGCCCAGCAAGGAGGAGACTGAAGGGGGGGGGGAAGCTCGAACGGAGCCGCGGAGACCGGGACTGCGAGCGGAGGCCTCCACGAGACCCAAAGAGGCCCCCCTCCTCTTCGTCCTCATCCTTCTCCTCCTCCTCCTCCTCCTCCTCCTCCTCCTCCTCCTCCTCCTCCTCCCCCTCCTCTTCCGCCCCCTTTCCCCTCCTACCCCTCCTCGCGTTGTCCTCCTCCTCCTTCTTCTCCGAGGAGGAGAACCCAACAATTCTGCAAGAGGCCTTTGACGCACGACACAGGTACGGTCCCAGACCCCCTCAAAGTGTGAGAAACACGACGGGAGGTGTTTCGTCACTTTCGGCCTCCGGGGGCCCTTCCCGGGCCCAGGGACGGTCAAAAAACGACTCGGGACGAAAAACCGGCCCCGGGGAAGGGGTCCAGACCTCTGGGGGTCGACGTTGCAACAAAAATCACGACGTCGGGGGTCTGGGGTGGCGGGTTGGTCCCAGCCAGACGACTGACCACTAGATATCCAGCCTTGACAACGAGGCAAAACCCATCTCGTGACCAACAAAACAAGCCGCCGAATATTAAGGCTTTGACTGGTCCCACCAGCCATTTAGGGAGAAGGTGGGTTAGGGCGCTTCCTCTTCCAACCCCCTTTCAACCCCTCGGGGAGGGGTTTATCACTGCTCCTTTCCCCACCCGACTGGCGACGATCCTGGGCCACTGACAGCACCCCCCCGCCGCCCGTCAAAAAAAGTTATGCCAAACGCACATTGCGGCAAAATCTGGACCCTGCGCGGGCGCCACATGATCACCCTGCCTTGGTTTCTGACCAGGACGGCGGGGGGAACCTCCCATTGCCCGCTCTGCGCGGGCCCACGGTCCTCGTCAAAACAGCGTGCACCGTACACTGCGCGCCAAAACTGGAGCCGCGGGCGGGCGCCTCGTGATCACTCGGCACTGCTTTTTGCGAAGGGGCCCAGGGACACACCAACAAACGCACACAAATCCCGGGATCCCCCATATTTCCATACTTTCCCACGCTTTCCATACTCTCCCACATTTTCCTGGGAGTCGACGAGGACTGTGTCGGTGTGTTTGTTCCCTCCTGATCTTTGACAGGGGCAGCGGGGGAGCCCTCAGATGGTCCACTCGGCCCAGGCCCACAGATCCTGTCAGCACACAGCGCATCGTGCACGGTGTCGGAGGGCACCAACTATGCACCAACACCGATCCTGGCCCAGGATCACCCTGGGCCCAAGATCGGTGTATATGCCTTCTTGCGCAGGGCAGGAGGGCGTATACACCGATCCTGGGCCCCGGGTGATCCTGGCCAGGATCGGTGTTGGTGTATAGTTGGTGCCTTCCTACTGTGCGCAAGAATCGGGACCTCGCGCGGGCGCCCCGGGATCACTTCGCAGTGGATTTTGGCAGGGACGGCGGCGGTGCCCACATGCTGTCCGCTCTGCGCAGGCCCACCAACCCTGCCAACACAAAGTGCAGAATTCACTTTGTGGGAACTTCTGGTTCTCGCGCGGGCCCCCGGCAATCATTTTCCGTTTGTTTTTGGAAGGGGGGCGGCGGCGGGGGGCCTCGTATTGACTAGTCTGAACAGGCTTACCACCGCTGACCAAAAAAGTACACTTTGCACGATTTGTGAATTGGTGCTGGTGATTCGGGCCACACCCTTCTCGCTGAATGCTCAGCACTGCGCGTCCGAGGGGGCCCTAACTCATGAACTCGTTGGGATCGGGCCAGGCTCGGATGCTGTCCGTGTTGGGAGGGCGGGTGGGAGTCAGCGCCACGGCTTGCGGCTTGGGGTAGCTCAACCGATCCCCCTGTCCTCTGCCCCTGGGCCTGGACGGGAGGTGCCTCTAGCCATTGGAGCGTCCACTGTGGCGCCTGCGAGGAGACAGAAATCAGTGAGGTCCCTTAGGTGTTGGGCCAATGTTGGCCTCCTGGAGGGGGGCTCTGCTAGGGGACCCCCACCTTCTTTGATTGGTAGCCTCCGAGGTGACCACAGGACGGCCCGAAAAGCTCTCAAGAGAGCCCCGAGAGGCCCCCAAGAGGCCCCCCAGAGGCATCCAAGACGCTCCAAGAGGCTTCCCAAGAGCTAGCAAGAGGCCCCCTAAACGCCCCAAGATGTCTCGAAGAGGCCCTCAAGAGACACCCCAAGAGACCCAAGTAAGCATCCAAGGCCCCCCTGGCCCACACAGGCCCCCGACATCTCCAAATGATGCCACGCTGCCTCGTTCAGAGTAGCTCCGCTGGGCATCGTGTCTGGATGGGCTGGTAGTAATACGCGAGGCGTTAGCAATTTCGCTTGATGTGCTTGAAGTTGTTTGCTGTGCGGTGCGCTGCTTTTCATTGCTTGGTCAACTTGCTTTGGTGCAAAGAGGTAAGCCCGTATCCGTTCTGTCCTGTTTTGGTGCGCACGACTGTGTTACATCAACGCTGTACGTGGCCTTTTAGCGCATTGCCTTAAATTGGATTGCATTGCGGTGCAATGCAATGGGTTGGCGACGTTTGCTCATCTTGCGTTGCTATGCTTCGCGATGCCTTCAGCTGCGTCACGTTGACATTGCTTTGCCGTGGGTTCCATTATGCTGCGTTGCTTTGCATAGCACTGCATGTGTTCTGAATTGCGCTGCACTTGAAGGAGCGACGTTCTCAAAGCACCGGAAAGGATCTCAAGGAAACGGGGGGATCGCAACCAGCCCTCCAGCGCAGAAGGGCCTGTCAGCTCCCCTGGGCAAGGCCAAGGCCGGGGAAGATGCTTTCTCATGGGACTCTTCTTTCTTTTAGGTCTCAACGCCCCCAGTTTGGGGAAGAACGAAGCCAAAAGCGCAGGTTGTGATTGGGGCCGTGTGGTCCCCCCCCCGCCCCCAATGCCGCTCCCCGCCCCCCCAGCACCCCCGCGGCGGCACACACGCGCGACAGCGCCGGCGTCTAAGAAGCTCAGACACGGCAGCCGCCAGGAGAGCTCGCCCAGCGCCCGCACCGCCAGCGTCCGGAGCACCCCTGCCAGCACGCCGCCGTCCGGGCCGGCCAGCAGGCAGGCCGGGGGCAGGCCGAGCCCCGCGCGCAGCAGGGAGCCGCCGGCCACCAGCGAGAGCGGCCAGTACCAGTGCAGCATGGACGCCAGCTCCTCCTCGCACCGGCGCCCCTCCGCCTGGGCCCGGCCCTCCGTCGGGCCAGAGGGGAGGAGCAGGCCGAGGCGCTGCCGGTCCACCTTGCTTGTGGCCGCGCTGCGCGGGAGCTTGGGCACCAGGAAGAGGGCAAAGTCTTGCGGCAGCACCGCCTGCAGGCGCGGCATCAGGCCCGACGGCATGCCCCTCAGCGCGACGAAAGCGCTGCGTCCGCAAATGGAGGCCTCGGACACCTCCTCCATCGCCAGCAGCCGCGCCTCCAGCTCGCGGATATCCGTCCACTTGCCCCCCACCTTCACGAGGTCGTCGGCCCTGCCGACAAAGGCCAGCCCGCCGTCCCGCCGCTCGACGCAGTCCTTGGTGCAGTACCACCGGACGCCCGAGCTGTCTTCCTCGAAAGCGTCGGCGTTGAGGACCTCGTCTGTGTACCCGGGGCTGACCATGGGCCCCGCCACGAGCAGCTCTCCCCTCTCGGCCTCGCGCGGCTCGGTGCGCACGCTGGCCTGGGCGCTGCTGGAGCTGCTCTGGCTGCGGCCGCAGCCGTCCTCGTCGACGCGCCTCAGCCTCACCCGCGTGCCTGGCACGGTGCGGAACGCCGGCCGAGGCGGCTCCAACGCCGCCCGGCCCACGGAGCCGCTGGGCCCCGCGTAGGGCGCCGAGCCGCCAGCGCAGCCACGGCTCCAGTCTGCGTACAGGGACAGCCAGCACTCCGTGGAGATCAGCAGGTCGATGAGGTGCACCCGCCTGCCCCACTCCCTGGCGACCACGGGCTGCAGCGCCTCCCCCCACGTGAAGACGAGCTTCAAGGTGGGAACGTCGGCGTGCTCGATGGCGGCCAGCATGCTCGGGACGAGGCCGGCGCACGTGGCCGAGTGCTTCTTGATGACGGAGACCACGTCGTCCGTGCCCCAGGCCTCGCAGAAGACCAGCGCGCAGCCGAAGGCCAGGGCAATGTCGATTTCACCGAAGGCAGAGGCTCCCCAGTACAGAGAGTGCTGCTGCAAGACCCTGTCCCTGGGGGTGAGCTCGCCAACTCGCGGGTAGTGCGTAACCTCGTGCAGGGCCATTCTGTGGGTGATGCGCGAACACCTCGAAGCCCTGGTAGTCCCGCCGGTGTAGTTGTAGCACAATATCGCGTCCGCCGTCGCCGTCACCTGCGGCGCCGGGTGGCTCTCCGCATGCGCCGCGGCCCACAGCTCGCGGAAGTGTACGGTGGCTCCAGCGTGCGTCGGGACACCGGCGACCTCGTCGACGACGACCAGAGCAGGCCTGTGACTCTCGAGGATCTCCGCGTTCCGCTTGAGCTCTGCGCCCCGGTCTGGCAGGTCCCGGCTCAGGGCGACCACGGGGACCTGCAGCCTGGCCGCAGCCAGGAACGTGCAGTACCTGGGGAGAGCAAGAGATACCAACACAGCCGCTCCCCAGACCTCTCCAGGGGTGCGCTCTGAGCTTCGAGGCGAGTCCAGCCGTGGCGACTAGGGCCTCCACGGAGGCCCCGACAGGCGAAAACGAGGCAAGGGTAGCAGTATCGGTATCTTCCCAGACATGCAACGTCCTGATTTGTTCAACACGGGGCCCCCCGGAAATCCCGACCCTATCCCCGGGACCAGTCTCTCATCCTGAGCCGTGCCTCGACGCAGAGGCACCCAGCGGAGGCCGAAAACATAGAAACACCTCCCGTCCTGATTCTTCCAGGACGCCAGCATGTCGGAGGAGGAGGAGGAGGAGGAGGAGGAGGGAGGAGGAGAGGGAGGAGGAGGAGGAGGAGGAGGAGGAGGAGGAGGAGGAGGAGGAGGAGGAGGAGGGGGAGGAGGAGGGGGAGGAGGGGGAGGAGGGAGGAGAAGTGGGCTTTCCTCCTTCGTGCACCAGGCGTTGCCGCGCTGCATGCTGGTCGCCAGGACGGGGCCGTTGGGGTCGCGGCCGGCGGCGCCCTGCAGGGCGGCGGCCAGGGCGGCGGCGAGCCGCTCCGCGGCCCGGTGCAGCTCCGCGTAGGTGATGTGCCTGGGCGGGCCTTCGGGCTCGGTGCCGCCACCCTCGCCTGTGGACGCGCGACGTGGGTACGGAAAAGAGGCATCGGTTGGCAGGGCGCGCACCCCAGATCCCCTCGCGTCGTGGGAAAATCACGACAGGAGGTGTGAGGCTGACTTCGGCCTCCGGGGGGCCCTTACCGGGCCTCGGGACCGTCAAAAAACGACTCAGGACGGAAAACCGGTCCCGGGGAAGGGGTCCAGACCTCTCTGGGGGTCGACGCTGTGAAAAAATCACGACGTCGGGGGTCTGGGACCGAAGCTCACTCTTGCCTGAGCCTTCTCGCCCTGTGTCGTCCGCGCGAGGCTGCGAGTTTTTCGGGCCTGAGTCGGCTGACTTCGGGGCGCCGAGCCCCGCGTCTGCACATGGCCTTTGCATTCCTCTCCTTCTCGGCCCCCTCTGTCACTCGTTCATCACGGTTGGGAAATTTTGGTTTGGGAAGTGATGAGTACACGTCTGCTGAGAAGTAAGAAAATCCTACGCTGAGAAAACGGAATTCACTCCAAGCGTTTTCTTGGAATGGTCCAGATGTACTAAAGTTCTACGCCCAGGTTCTTGATTTTCTTAAGCGATATCTGGAATCCATGAAAGTGCTTGTCTTTCTTGAGATTATGATGGGCACACGACGCACGAAAGCAAATGTTGTCCAAAACCGACAGCTGCCGCTGTTGGACAGGCGGCCTCCTGTCTCAACGGACGGCGTCCGCGGCGACACCGACAGCAAGTCCTGATCAAACTTCACAGGAACTGATGCCGGCCTTCGTGCCCGAGCTTCTTCCGTGCCCACTTCGATCGCACCGATCGCCGCACGGGCCCGCGATGCCATCTATCGCTGCGACGACCTGCCCCGCCTCTGCGGCCCTCCTGCGAACCACGTCGTAGAGCGAGCCCGCCGGCTGCGCCGGGGGGGCCACCATGCGGTCACGCGGTGCCCATCTGCGGCCGCGCTGGTCCTGCTTTCTGCGCGGCACCGCGGCGCGAGGGCGGCGCTGGCGTCGCAAAATGCGCGCCCTGCCTGGACCAGAACGGGTGCACAGAGGGGAGCAGCGGGAGCGGGAGCCGAAAAGGAAGAGGAAGAGTAAGCAGAAGCTCGAGGCTTCATGGGAAAATGCTTGCCTTGCCTCGATCTGCCCATGTTGGTAGTCGAGCTCCGAGTTCGGAACTGTCCCGCTTCCCTCTTCTCGAGGCCACTCGGTTCAGCGCAGTGCTGAGCAACTTCCATGCGATGCCAAGCCTATACCCGAACTCTGTCAATAACTTGTAGTCTGGTCGGGACAGAGCACACTTCAACTTGTTTTGCTGTGCTTATTCCGTTTCGATGCGCAGACAACTTCGGAACAGCTGTTGGGCAGATTACCCAGGGACGTACCAAAACCGTCCAAGACGTTTGGCAATACCATAAGGGTAGTCGATATGCGTTGGGCACCGCTCCTCAAGACCGCCCAAAAACGCAGCGAAGTGGCGACAATTGCACGCATGGCACGTTAGTTTCGACCACCCCCACGTCCTCGCGTTGCCCCCCCCCAATTCAGCCTCTGGGGTTCCCTGACTGGGCCCTGGGGCCGTCAAGAAACCAATCGGGATGAAGAGACGAACCCCGGGCAGGGGTCCAGACCTCTGGGTAGCCTCGGTACCAAAAAAAAACGTCGGATGCCTCAGTACGCGGCTCTCGCCCCAGAAGCCCCGAACCCACAAGAAAGGTGCTCCTCTGAGACGGCCGGCCCTTGCTTCCGCGGATTCCCTTCAATGTCCGCCCGACCGCCCGATTGCACGTTCCGCGCGTCGTCGTCGTCGTCGTCGTCGTCGGCTTCCGCTGGCTCCACCCACGACGTCGGTTTCCGCCGACCTCCGTCGGCCCTTCGCTGGCCCTCCGCTGGCTTCCCACCAGCCCTCCGCCGAGGAGGAGAGAAGAGAGGACAAGGAGGAGGAGGAGGAGGAGGAAGAGGAGGAGGAAGGACGACGACGACGACGACGACGACGAGCAGCAGGAGAAGGAGCATGAGGAGGAGGATGGGGTAGGATGAGGAGGAGGAGGAGGAGGAGCAGAAGGAGGGCCATAGTAAAGCCAAGATGCGTCAGCGATGCTGCAATACATCCTCCCGTCCCAAGTCCCCTCTCCAGAAGTCCCGAGAAGCTTCATTCTCACAACAAGAAGGGGCCCCTTGAAAGACCATCACCCTATAGGCCTGCGGTTGGCAGGATAGGCCCGTTTTGACAAAGAACTTTCCTTGTATCCTTCTGGCGAGTAGTCATGACTGCGGAAAGAATGGTCACGCAGTTTAGCGAAATGCCCAGCAAGATCCCCGTTCTGGAAACAATGGATTTCTGACCATGAACATCGAAGACGTCACAAACGGTTCCATATTGGAAAGAAACCATTATCCGCCCGTGCGGCCGATACATATGTGGAGGCTTCGGGCCTTTAGACTTCAGTATATCCAAAACGAGAGTCCAGTTTTGAAAAAGAACCACCGTCCACCTGTGCAACTGTTGCAACAAATCAAAACGGACGTGCACCGCGCTAACGCGAGAGCCCCACCCTGAGAACGGCCCGCCCTCTTTCCTTGCAACTGGTGCAAGATTCTAACACGAATGCGCGCGACGCCAAGGCGAAAGCCTCCTTTTGAAAACGGCATGTGATCCGTTCGTCTTACTGCTGCAGAATGTTGAGAAGAGTGTGCGCGGCGCAAAAACGAGAACTATATGTTGGAAATGGTGCGTGCCGCTGTGTACCTACCGGCTGCGAACTTCAAGTTTCCGGAACAGAAGTGGTGAGGATATGTCAAGCGAGCAGCCCAGGCCGCCTGCCACGCCTGCCGCTCCTGTCACGTCTGCCACGTCTGGCTCGTTTCGCACGCTTGTCACGCCTGCCACGTCTGCCACGCCTGACACGCCTGCCACGTCTGCCGCATCTCGCTCACCTCGCACACCTGCCTGGCCTGGGTCAAGTTAGCCAGGCCGAGCGAATCAGAAGGCCCAACCCATTCCCGCTCGCCCTCCCGCTACATAAGAATCCGTTGTGGACTGGAGCGCGTACCCACTTATCAAACGGAAGGCGCTCGCGCGTGGTCCCGCTTCAAATGACGTGGCGAAGGATAAGCGACACAGGCCGCGCAGGGGCGGGAGCGGCAATATTTCCGATGAACGCAACGACGAAGCATGCGTCGCGCCGACACATCACTGACACTTTCACGCACAAGCTGCGCGGCGCCTGGGCGAAGTCAGCATTTCGCCCGCTCTCGCGCGGCCCCGCTGCCGCTGCCGCTGTCATTCGATTCGGCGAACGAAACATGTGCATCAACACCACGAATCAACGTGACTGTTGCGACCGGATGATCCTAAATCGTACCACAGCACTATGCCTGGGACTTCAACAATGCAAATACTGTGCCGACTGTGCGCGGCGCTAAGGAGAGAGCCACATGTTGAAAATGAGCCGACCTCCATCCTTGAAACTGTTGCAGAACTTTCTAGACGAATGTGTGCGGCTAAATGGCGAGAGCCAACTTTTCAAAAGGAGCCACCGTCCATCCATGAAGCTGCAACAAAATGTTACACGAATGTGCGCGGCGCTACGGCAAAAGCCACATCTTGAAAATGTACCGCCCTCAATTCTTGAACCCTTTGCAACATGTTACAACATATGCGCGCGGCGCTCAAGCTGGAACCACGTTTTGCAGACGTGCCGCCCTGAACCCGTGAAGCTGTTGCACATTTCACGCATCAGGAACATAAATGGTAGGGAAGTCTCAGACGAAACGCCCGGCCCGCCCTATCGACCCGTCTGGGGGCGCGACTGGGAGAAACTACTTCTCAGGAGTAGGAACGGTGGTAGAGGAGGAAGAGGAGGAGGAGGAGGAGGAGGAGGAGGAGGAGGAGGAAGAGGAGGAGAATAAAGAGGAGAAGACGGAAACGTGAGGAGGAGCAACAGGAGAAGGCGGCCTCTCTCGAGCCCCCCTTCAGGGGGCGAAAGGGGGGGCCCTGCCCCTGCAGCGCCCTCGGGAAGGCGCTGACTCGCGCCTCCGGGAACCCGCCGCTGCCCTCGCGGTCGCCACGGCGCCGCCCGCGGCCCCCAACGGCCAAATCGCGCGCCGGGGCGGCGGACGACGGCGGCAGAGCGCCCCGGGCGGCCATTCGCCCAGGCCGCCGGGTGCCCCCCGCGGCGGCCGAGCGGCCCCCGCGCCCGCCCTCCTGCGGGATGTGGGGCCCCCCCTGCGCGGCGGAGGGAGAAGTCGTCGCACCCAGTGCCACCCAGAGGGAGGAGGAGGAGGAGCAGGAGGAGCAGGAGGAGGAGGAGGAGGAGGAGGCGGAGGAGGAGGCGGAGGAGGAGGAGGAGGCGGACCAGTGGAAACCCAAGACTCATCAACGATATTGCAACAAACCCTCCCTCCAAGTTCCCCATCCACAAGTCCCTACAAGGATTCATTTTCACTGAAGGAAATGCCCCGGAAAAAATTGAACTGTGCCCGCACACCGTTCCTTGGACTTCCACGAATCACCGCTGCTGCTGCGTTTTGATGATCCTGAACCGTGCCAGAACACCATTCCTGGGACTTCAACATCGCGAATAAAAGTAACTGTTGCGCCCTAGCAGCCCGACATCGTGCCAAAACACCATTCCTGGGCCGGCAACCATGAAAATCCTTGAAACTGCTGTAAAGCCTTGAAACGAATGTGCACGGCACTCAAGCGAGAGCCACATGTTGAAAAGGAACCGCCCTCCATCTGCGTTCAATTTGTAAGGCGAAAGTGCCCGGCGCCCAGGCGAGAACCACATTTGAAAAAGGAACCGCCCTCCATCCCCGAATGTCCGACTCAAAACATGATCGACCCACGAACCCAGAAAGGAATACAGAAATGTAAGTCATGGCAACGTTTCAAAGACACCTGATTGGGCGACGGGCAAATGCAATGCTGAATGTATCGATCTTGATGTACCATGCCGACAGCTGTGCTGTGCTGGGCCGTGCTGAACTGCGATGTGCCATGCCGCGATCGTGCTCTATATAGCGTTGTGGATCGAGTCCTCTTTGCATCCGAGTCCTAACCGAACTGATCTGGATCTTAAGCTCGAGCTGCCTGAGCAGATGGTAGCTGCCCCAGAACTAATCGACAGGGGGACATGCCAGGAGGACGCGCCGCGGAACGTCCCAAGGGACGCGCCAGGCGACGTGCCAGGGGACGTGCCATGGGCACGCACCGCGGGACGTGCCAAGGGGACGCGCTACGGAACGTGCCAATGGACGTGCACCGCGCGATGTGCCAGGGGGACTCGCCACGGGACGCTCCGCGGAACGTGCCAGGCAACATGCCAGGCTGCAATGCTAAGGGTATCGATATTGATGAACCGTGCCGAGGGCTGTGCTATGCCTGGGCGACCTGGACACGTGAAAACACGCGTTTCGCTCAAGACGTTCTCAGCACATCCTCATGCTAGACATCAGCCTGGGCAACCTGGACACGTGCAAACAAGCGTCTCGATCGAGACTTCCTCGACACATCCTCATGCTAGCCATCCGCCTGGGCGACCTGGACACGTGAAAGCAAGCCTCTGGTTCTAGGCATCCTCAACAAATCCTCATGCTAGACATCTGTCTGGACAACCTGGAGGCGTGAAACCAAGCGTCTCGCTCGAGACATCCTCGAGATCTGGGCACGTGAAAACAAGCATTTCATTTGAGAGATCCTCAGAATTCAGGTCCCCAGGAGAGGACAATCTATAACACGAAACAAGCGTTTCGCTCGAGACATCCTCAACAAATTCTGAAAAAAACAAGCGTTTCGCTCGAGACATCCTCAAATTGTAATCCGCGGGCCCACCTCGACCTCGATATTTATCAAGGAAAGAATCCGCCGGCCCACCTCAGTTGAGGCACCGGGGACAGGTTTACCAACTAAAAGAAAACCCTGGGCCGGCGCCCTTTCCGGGAAAAAAGGATGCAACATTTCAAACGAATGTGCGCGGCGCTAGGGCGAGAGCCGCATTTTGAAAGCGGACCGCCCTCCCTCCGTGAAACCCTTGTAAAATTTGAAGGGGATGTGCGCGGCGTAGAGGCGAGAGTAATATTTTGAAAGCGGCCCGCCCTTCATCCGTCAAACTGGAACAAATTTCT